ATGTGATGGTGACGATTCGGAGGAAGGAGGAGGAGGACGAGGAGAAGGATGGGAAGTAGCAGCAACAGCAGGAGCAGGAGGAGGACGAGGAGGAGGAGCAGGAGGAGCAGGAGGAGGAGGAGGAGGAGGAGGAGGAGGGGAGAAAGGGTTGCGATGAGGAGAGGAGGGAAGAGCATAAAGGAGGACGTTGTTGAGAAGAAAGAGCCGGGGACGAAGGAGAAAAGAACAGATTCGTTCCAGACATGATCTCTTCCCTGGATGTACAACTAGAATTTAAAGGTAACGGTTATCGTTAGGGCAAGTAACGGGCATGGACGACCCCTAGATCGGACAATCTGCTCTGCTAGCGAATATTCGAGCACAGATGATTTAATCACTTGCTTGAGAACATGATTTTAATAATCGAAAGTAGGGCGGATTTTCTGCGAACGGGAAATACATCCAATTATGTGTAAGAAATTCGTTTATTTTACTTCACAAATCCTGTCTTTTATTGAATCAATCACCTCGGTAGGATATTGTCCAGCGAAGGCTTTTCTTTATTTTTTCACCAGATTTCTTTTCGATATTGTATTAATCACAAATCACAAATACTCCATTTTTTTCTTAGCACTGAACTGATTTCTATGCCATAATAAACTTCCAACGCTATTATTTGCTGTTACTTCTCAAAGTTGTTCTTTCTCGTATCATTGCTTGCTCAGCTAGTATCGATTTCCGCGAACACATCGATTTCTCTCCTACAAGTCATTCATCTCCTAGCATTGATTTCTTCTCTAACGACTATTGCGGTTCGTGTACAAAGTAACGCCGGCCACACCGCCACCGTCCGCATGCCACTGCCTTTCTCCTCTTTCTCTGTGGATACTGGTTGCTTTGATACGCCTACTGAACGCGTATGTTGTGACCATTGTTAGCCCTCGCGACGCGAACTTTGCTGTGGATTTTTTTCTCGCGCTCGATTTTAACCTCATTAGTTTTCACGCGCAGGAGTCAAGCTGCTTGGAAACCGCTGCTGGTCGCGTTCATGTCGGATACCTATACTTGACGGGTAATGTATCCACGCCCCAACATTATATATATATATATATATATATATATATATATATAAAGAGAGAGGGTTTTGGAGGAGGAGGGTCAGTACACATTGTACACCGCGTGAGTAGAGTACGAGGTTGAAGGCAGTCCGTTGTGAGTCGGGGCGTCCACGCAGGTGATTGCGAGAAAGTATGGAGATGCGACAGTCGGCAGTAATGGTATGTATGTACGTGCCACATATCTACCTCGTCGGCATCGGCATTCGAGTACAAAGACGCTCCTGCGTTCTCATTGCGGCGACTTTGTGTATGCTGTTTGCGGCGTTGACTACATCATTTACGATACTGTATTTTAAAATTAATATACACTGATGTCGCGCTATGAGCTATATTAGTCAGAGAACCGATGTATGTATATATATATATATATGTAACGTTTTTCCCCGTTACGTGGGACTCTCCCACTGTTCGACCACTGGATTGTACACGTCGCACAAGAACAAACAACGCAACTCAAAAATGACAGTGTTTACGCCGGGAATAGGTCCGGGGCTTTTATTCCGCCCTGGTCAACCGACCAGAGTGGGCATAAAACGGTACAATATTCCTCGCAGCGTAAGGCCCGAGTATAGCTAACAAGATACAACTAGGCGCTAGGCGCCTTACCAAAACGATCCTCTGTAGAGAGCGGCCAAGTCCGTGCAGAGATCGCTGGTGATTCGCTCGCGGAGAATCGTTTCCGCCATGCGGAGCTGCGCCGGCGTCATCTCCTCCAGGCGGTCTCGTCGCGGTCCTCCTGTTGCGTCCCGTAACGCCCTTGGTAGCATCAAGGGGCGTACCTCCCGGGCGGGGGTGCTCAGCTGCCGCAGCTGCCGTGTTCCCGCGTCGGTTAACTGCGGGTCCGGGGTTGAAACGTCCATTCTTCGTCGCCTCTCCGAGGGGCCTGGGGCAGTGGCGGCGGCCCGAAGCTCCGCGCCGAGCTTCCGCTTGCTCGGCCGACCCCGCTTCTCTTGCACGGGTTTTGGGGCAGCTGCGACAGCCCGCGGCACCGTGCGGGGCTTCTGTCCCTTTGATCTTTTCCGGGCCTCCTCCGGCGTTGGCAACGGCGCGCCGGTGGAGAGGGGAAGGTGGTAATTCAAGCCCGCCTCCCGGTACGACGTAGGGCGGCCTTGCTCGGTCGCCCAGCGGTCCTGCTCTATTGCTCCGTGCTGGCTGCGGAGGTGGTGCGCCAAATTGAGATGCCGGCTGAGACGATAGGGGGCACAGGCCGGCGTGCGGAACTCACACCGAGCAACGGGGCACCTGAAGGTTTCCACCCGCTGCTCGTGATACTCCGCTTGATGCTCCGCGACGTGGTACGTGGTCAGGGAGCATGCCCTGCACCATGCCCACTGCCCCGCGGGACACGCATCCGCGGCGACGATGATGCCCCGGTCGAATGAGGTGCTCTGCGGTCCCACGCCCGCTCTCGCCGAGGCGGCAGAAGGCGACGCGCGCCTTACCACCCTGCCGTGGTTCGCCGTTTCCTGAGAGGTGGTGCGGGTCGCGGAAGGATCCGGTCTAGCCGGGGTGCCCTTCTCCAGGCGGGTAAGCACTACTCTTGCCGACTCACCTCTCGGCGATCTTCGTGGTGGTGGCGGCGATTCCGGCACTTTCGGCGGTGACACTGCCGACGGCGAGGCGAGCAGTGCGTCGGTATCTATGGCCTCCAGCCCTCCCCAGCTTGACGGACTCTCCAATGCGGTTAGCTCCATTTCTTCCTCCATGGTACTTTGTGGTGGTGTCGGCGAAATGCGGGGTATATATACCATTTCACCGCCGGCCCCGCGAGGTCCCGTGGTCAACACTCTCCCTCCTCCCGCGCCAGCGTCGGGCTTCAAATTTGCTTGATTGGGAACACGACTGTGTTATCAAGCAGTGTTTCACCACGCCGGCCGGACAGTGTGTATATATGACGAATAGAACACCATCAAATTAGGCGCGAACGTGGATTACATTAGGGTGCGAAGACGGGACAATCGTAGAACACGAGGCAAAAGGAGGGAAGCAGTTGAAAAATCTCCGAAAAAAGTGGGGTACGCGTGCTACGCGCATATTGATTTCTATATGTGATACCGCATTGCAAGGGCCCAACATTAGCATCAAAATGGCAGCAAATGCTCATATCATTTTTGTTATAAAAAAAACAGTTGGTTAGTCATTATTTTCTTTGTTCAATCTGGATCTCAGTAGGGTTGTAACGGCTATATGCTAGCAGAGTGCCGGCGGTGTATTCTCTGTAGAAATACACATGAGGTGATGTAATTAATTAATTTCATTGGACTTATCGAATTGTATTTTACAAAGATTACCATGTAGGACCTACCTGTCTCGTATTACGTGTCCTGGTGATTATGTGTCACGCTGCTCGTTATTTACTTAACGGTTCAGTGCAACACTATAGCATGACGTGCATTATCCAACCGCATGGCTAAAAGGGCCGAAAAAGTAGGCTGTTTTCCTGACCTAATGCCATTTTACTTTGGCGTGTTTCTTCCTGAACATGCCTAAGGACAGGAGAGCGTGTATTGGGTACATGGGTTTGGCGGAAGTACGCTATGCGTGCGCGTCGGGTACCTATCGGTTGTACGTGCGCTTGCGCGTGTGGTGGTCAGTGCGTGTACGTGTGGCCTTACGTGGGCGTTGCGGTGTACGGCGCGTGCTACGATGTGCGTGTGCGTGTATACGTGCGCGCGCGTGAGTGTACGTGAGCATGTGCGTGAGCATGTGCGTGCGCGTGAGTTTGCGCGTGTGCGTGTGCGTGCTCGTGTGCATGCGTGTGTATACGTATGCGTTCGTGTGCGTTGGAGCGCCAGTAGGGGGACCGTGCTGCGTGTGTGTGAGCGTGCTGCTGTGGTGCGGGCGTGTGGATGGGTGCGTGCTGTACATGTGCGTCGTGCGTTAGCGTCTGGCGCTGTGAGTGTTACGGCGTGAGCGGAGCCGCTCCTCGGCGCCCAGGCGGCCGGCGCCGTCGCGTGTCGTGACGCGGCGCGCGGCCCGTGTACGTGTGGATTGTGCGCGGCGCGAGGGTGGAGTGTGTGGGTGCGCGGAGTGAGCGGTATTCGGGGTGACGGTGGACGGGTCGTTGTGGCGGCGGCGCGGTGAGGGACGGTGGGTGTGCGGGCATGTGAAGGTATGCCTGTGTGGCGGGGGGTGTGGAGTGATGTGTGCGAGTGCTGTCGCGTGTATACGGTGTGTGTCGAGAGGGCGTAACATGAATGGAGTAGGTGAACAGAGAGGTTAGGATAGCGGTCAGCGGGAATAGGGTGACGGAGCGATCCTCCCTTAGAATACTGCGGATTCCTGAACGTTCCTGGTCAGGAGCAAGGTCAGAAGCGGTGTAATTATGCGCAACGTGGCTCTCATTCTCTTCTATGGAAGCCATGATGAACGACTGGTGTAATGATTAGGCGGTGCGAGATTCACAGGTAACGTCATGCGGAGTGTCTAGATGCGGTTGGTGGCCGAAACTCGATATATCGAACACGGATTTGAACTGCGAGCATTATTTGTTAGAGGTAGATATCTTAGAATTGTAATGAAACAATAAGTTATAACATAAACAATAATCAATAATTGTATTATTATAATTGATTATTATGTTCATTTATTAATTATTATTATTATTTATTAAGACAATACAATAATTAACCACCTTCGAATCTGCGTATCTGACCACATCGTTGTTTTACAATGACGGTTTTTCAATTTCAGTATGACGTGCCCAGTCAACCGAGAAAGACGATGCTCTTGACATTTTCTCAGAAAACCTACGCCGATGATATTGCTAACTAATGGAAAGCTAGGGGGGCGCAACACCGCTCCCCCTGCACCTCGGTCGGATGACAGTGATTTGGTTGGTAGACTCAAGGTCCGATTTTAAACTGTGATGCGTTATGATGCAGCTGGGAGACCAGAAGCAAAGCTTTCGTCGAAGTAAGGAGATTATGAATTGGCCGCTTCCGCACTTCCTCTCGAATCTTCCCATTTCCCGCTCGTCTCTTACTATTCCATACCATTATTGCTTCTATGCTATTACCTCATAGCGTTTAGTACTCGCTTTTTATCCTTCTCTTCTTGTTCTTCGGGGGCTTCTGTTCGATCTACCTATCTATTTATCTAGTTTATCTATTTATCTATCTATCGATCGGCATGTATCTATCTATCTATCTATCTATCTATCTAGTCGATAGTCGTAGCTAGTCTATCTATCTGATCTGTCTATCGCATCTATCATATCTAATCTATTCCTTACTATCTATCTAGTCCTATCTATCTGAGGTCTATCTACCTATCGATCATGCTATCCTATCTATCCTATCTATCATATCTGACTGTTATCTATCGTATCTTCTATCTATGCGGATCTATTATCTATCGCTCTTCTCTTTGCCTCGCTCTCTCCCTCTCTGCTCTCTCTCTCCTCTCTCTCTTCTCTCATTTATCGTGAATCTATCTTATCTATCTATCTAATCTACCTCTATCTCTCTCTCGTTCTCTCTCTCTCTCTCTCTCTCTCTCTCTCTCTCTCGCTCTATCTCCCCCCCTCTCTCTCTCTCTCTCTCTCTCCTTCTCTCTCTCTCTCGCTCGCTGCGCTCTCTCTTGTTCCTGGTCTCCCTCTCTCTCTCTTCTCTGCTCTCCTCTCTGCTTCTCTCTCTCTCCTCTCTCTCTCTCTCTCTCTCTCTCTCCTGTCTCTCTATCTTTTCTCTCTCTCTCTCTGCTCGTAGCTCTCTCCGCTCTCTCTCTCGCTTTCCACATGACGATGCGTGGGCTGTCACTAGAACGAGAATCTGGCATCGATAGGGTACCCGACTGCAAAACTAATTTCCTCGTCTCGTCTTTGCCAGGATGTGTCATATCCGTTGAATACGTCGGAAGCAGACAGTTGCGAACTGGCGCGCCGCGAAGATGAGCGCAAATGTAAGAGTCGTCGTGCGGAGCGGCAGCGCATTAAGGTCTGGATATATATACGCGTGAGCTGTGCCCGTATAGCAGCGCTATGGTGGATGCGCCTGTGGTGTCTGTAAACCTGTTAGCGGAGGAAATGTCCTGTCGGCTGACGAGTCAATCCGCCAGCGTGTGCGACGTCGGGCCGGATGGCAGGCGTGCGTCGCTGCAGGACAATATCATCATCAATCGATCGATCATCATCATCATCAAGTCTTCATCAGCATCAATCTCATTCATGCAGCTTCATCATCATCATCATCATGGCGAGCCGACGTCGATACGACGACGGCCGACGACAACTTATAACGTAAACAGCTATCGTGCGAGCGATCTGACTGCACGCGGCGATATTGTCACAACTTGTGCGATGCTGCCA